AGGGGGTCTCGCTTATGCTATCTGAGAACACCCATTATACCTACACAGCATCATGGGTTTAAGTTTTCTGCTGGCAGCATGTTAGATCATAGGAAATGATGGAGCTGTAAAATCCAGAGCCCCCGATTCATTTGGATGCTAGTTGAGACTAGCATTATTAAAATAAGCCAGATGCAAATGAAGACAGTATTAACATAGGAACCCAATTATAGCAAGGTCAGAATCACACACAAACAAATGCACTTTTCTATAAAGAAATAAACTAATTTTATGTGAGATATTACAAAAAGCCAGCTATTTGATCATGTTATCTTCGTACCTCCTACAGAATTTGGGTACATTGTATGTAATAATTTGAGTACCTGCAGAAGGCAGACATAAAAGTTCTTTGGATGAGCTACATAATTTGGCTTAAAAGGTTTAAATAAGTCTGTTTTGCATATCATAATATAGTAAGATATACAGCTGCAGCTGAGTCACATTAACATGTCAGTGAGTAAGGAATCTTAGGAAACTGGTTTTCTAGCAAGATGGATAATAGTCTTATCATAATATATTCAGAAGAAGGCTCTCTGATATCTAGGCAATTCCAAGATAGCAAGCTAGCTACTGGAAACTACATTTAAATCATTTTGCATTTCTACACCAGAATGCTGTTTTAAAATCTGTCCTCCTTGTTCACGTTGCATTGATAAAAAGAGTTCTGAGGAAAGACCGTGTTAGTATTACAAAGCTCTGGATGTGCTTCAGAGTGCCCAGGGCTCTCTCATAGTATTTGCTAGCCACTATCTGAAGCAGCAGCATCTTTTCACATTCTGAAAAAATATGTAATTTGATTTAAGGAGTTGCTGAAGGGTGCTAATGTATGCTAAGATCTGAAACACATTTCTTTCCCTGCAAATCCAAAGTCTGTGTAAGCCCCTAGTATTTATCAAAGATTGTTAAGGGAGCCACGAGGCAAAAAATCAACTTTAACAAAAAGTGAGGATTCCACTCTGCGGAGTTCAGACTCCTGAGACAAGGATGCTTTTGGCACACACGTAGAGAACTAGAACATTTCTCTCCAGAAATTAGATTGTTCCGATTTTTAAAAAATAAATACAGTAAGTATGGACCTAATGGACACCAATAGAAGTCCTCCAATTGCTCTACAGGGGAATCACATAAAAGATTTGGCCAGAGGCCTCCTTTATGAAAACTTATCTTCCTTATCTTTTCATCATTTAAAAAAGATTTGAAGAAAGATTTTTTTTTTAGCTGGTTCACTAGCAATAATAACCTCCCATAATACACAATAAGACCATTTCTTTTTTTTAAAAATACGAAATACAATTTGGAGAAGAGATAATTAGTTAATGAGAAGCACTCTAATCTTTACTCCCATCCTTTTGCCCTGTTTACTTTTCCTACATTTTTTAAAAGGAATATTGTACAAGATAACATATTTTTAATCTGTAACAGGTATTCTTGCAAAGCACATAAAACGAACAGATGTAGTTCAAGTACCTGTAACTCAAGTTCTTCAAGAAGTGATCACCAAGAAGTCAGCCCGCCCATCTGTATGGCAGATTTGCTGTTCAAGGTTCCTTTTCAGGGATCTGCTGCATCAGAAACTATGAGAGTTTAGTGAGAGCATGCCAGTTAGGTCTGTTAATTCACAAAGGACAGGATTCCCACCAAAAGAGCTGTTACAAAGTTGGGAATGCCCTAAATCAGGGGTAGGCAACCTTGGCTCTTTTATGACTCGTGGACTTCAATTCCCGGAATTCCTGAGCCAGCTATGCTGGCTCAGGAATTCTGGGAGTTGAAGGCCACGGTCATAAAAGAGCCAAGGTTGCCTACCCCTGCCCTAAATGATGTTCTGTGCAAGATTAAAAACTTGGTTCAAAGACCAAAGGAGAAATTTCAGCAGTAGAGACATACCTATTGGTCTTGGGATTTCTTTTTTTTTTTTCCTTCTTCATATCAGGATACATATAAGTAGTCCTCGATTTGCAACAGTTCATTTAGTGACCGTTCAAAGTTACAATGGCATTGAAAAAAGCGACTTATGAACATTTTTCACACTTACAACCGTTGCAGCATCCCCGTGGTCACATGATCAAAATTCAGATACTGGGCAACTGGTTCATATTTATGACAGCTGCCGTGTCCTAGGGTCATGTGATCAGCTTTTGTGACCTGACAATCAAAATGAATGGGAAATCCAGATTCACTTAACAACCATGTTACTAACTTAATAAATGCAACGATTCATTTAACAACTGCAAAAAAAAGTAAAATGCGGCAAACCCACTTAACAAATGTTTCACTTAGCAACATAAAATTTGAGCTCAATTGTAGTCATAACTCGAGGACTACCTATATACTAAAATATCTCAATATTATTTGTTAAAGTTATATGCCACCTGTCTCGCGGATAAGGTGATTATGGGCCTTATATGGTTACTCTAAACGTCCTGGCATGTTAATTTTAAAAAGCATGAAGAAAGTGCAGGCAAAATATTTTTTTCCCCTTTCCAAGAGTGTCTTCTGAAAATCTGTGGATAAACAGCTTTGTTTAGAGGTAGATCAGAAGAGGGGGCGAGATAGGAAAGTTAGCCTTGGTTGTCATTACAATGTCTGCTTTTCGGCATTTTCTTGCAGTCTAATTATCTAAGATAATCAGTGAGATCAGAAAAAAAGGTAGAATAGTGGTGGGAAATCCATTTTTGGGTTGTAAGCTGTATGCTCTACTTTCAGAGAAGGCTATCCAGATCACTTTCACAAGCCACTTTTCATTTTGGAGCAATTAATTTTAATCTGCATTAATTTTAATGCAGGTTTAGGACAAAGTGACAGTTGCTCTTGAGGTCTTGATTTAAAATTGTTCTGGCCTATTTTACAAAGGCAGAGATTGTAAAGCATGCCTGTATTTTCATCTTTTACCACATCCTGCGAAACAATCAAGTTTTACAGTGCAGCAGTGTTACAATCATTTGTATGAAATGATATGGTATATCTTGCTTTATAAATAGTCCTCTAACAAAAAGAAAAGATAGTTTAGATCCTATGATAGTCATCATATAATAACCAGCCATTCATTTGAATCTTTATTTTTATTTTTTTTGTTTTTGAAGGGTCAGATTCTAGCACCCATCAAAATGAAATCAGTTTTCAGGTTCCCATTCCGTCAGAGCTGGGTGAGAAGTTCTCTTCAGAAGCACCCTGGACAGATTCTGCTAGCCAAGATGCCTGTGAAGCAGAAGCACCTGTGGTCCAGTCAGATGAAGAAGATGTGCAAGTGGACACTGTCCTTGTGAATACAGAAGCGAAGAGCCCCTCTGATGTCAGCGATGAAAGTGATTAACAGATTGAGGCCTATTACAGTGCCCTATAGGAATTAAGACTGGAGTGAATGAGGAAAGAAATAATCGGCAGAGCTTGTCATGTTTTATCTTCAGAGAGATAACTGTATGCAGTCGTAGAAAATATGTGTTTTTATATTAAAAGCATTCTGAAAGCACACTCATTAAGCAATAAACTCTTGCCTTTGGAACAATTTACCTTCCACGTTGATGCTTACTAAAAAGGACAAATTGTGAACAGATTTATTTTAAAATCTTCAGTAGAACTATAATACAGAGATAATTTTAAGCCTTTGTGGTAAGTTAGTATATTTTTGTTCCCAAAAGACTGAATATAAAAAAAGGCTGTTTATCATGCAATGGAGAATAGGCTAATATTTGGAACAAGAAAAGATTGAATGGCTATTTACATTAAAGAATTAGAAAGGTAGAAGTCCCTGTGTATGCTGTATCTCTATAAAAAAAGATAAAACTGGATGTGTATAGAGTACTTGCTATTCTGTGTGTGTAGAGTTGAACAAAAAATGGAAGAGCTATTTTTTTTGTTGTCTTTCATAAAACTGCTTCATTTGAAGGGATCAACAATGGACAAAAAGCAATGCTTGGATTTTATAAAAGAAAGGGTGGGTGGCCTTTGGATTTAATCTGCCTCCCAACTAAGATTATATCACTGTAACTTAAATTATATATCAACACCATGTCCCAGGTATTCACAGTGGGATGTGAAAATAAGATACATGCTAAGCATGAGATTAAAAACACGTTTTTTAAGAAAACCACACTACCATTTCTCACACAGTGGCCCTTACTAATACAGACAGGCAATCTATGTATTAGATATTTAATTTTTCTTTTTAATGTTTTTTAAAAATATTTATTCCACCTTGGATTATTTTTTATACATAAGGTGATGAAGATATCTAATACTCCTTTCTCCTATTTTCCTCACAGCAACCATCCTTTGAGGTGAGTTGGGCTGAGAGAAAATGACCCTAAATCGCCCATTCAGTTTTCAGGTCTGACTAGAACTCACAATTCCCTGGTTTCTAGCCTGGTGCTTTAAGCACTGTTTGTTATCTTTCATCCCTTTAGCAATATCTTTCAGTATTTGTTATCTTTCATCCTTTTAACATAGGAATGAGACCTGTGGTCCTCCAGGTTTTGCTGGGCTTCAGTATTATTAACCATACTGGTAGCTGTAGCAATATTGTGAGGATCACAGGTTCTACTTTCCCCCTTCTGTAAATATTTGAAGGATAGATGTTCTAATTTGATATTATGTCTATGAACTTGTTCTATGAGCGGACAAATATACTCGCAAACAATTGGCAGCTTTATTTTCTATCTTTTCTAATATTTTAGAAAATATTGATTTAGCTTGCTCACAAAGCCTGTGTACTATTGAATTATTCTGTCTCAAAGGACTGTGAGAGGGAAAGAGAATTCAGCGCTGTAGTTCTTCAAAACCCATCTGTTTGGGCTGCAAATTAGTTGAAACATTTATTTCACTTTTGTTGCAGTAATATAGCTCTGCCAATGACCTGAAGTACTATTCCATAAACTACATCTTTTCTAAGCCCATGATAACAGTTCTAAATAAGTCAGCTAGCTTTAAATCATCTCTACTGCTTTCAGAAGAAAGACAAAGTGTCCAAAAAGTGTATTTTTATTAAACCTTGTATTACAAACCTGAAAAGTAAACAAAGTCTGGCAATAAACATGAAGTCTTTCCTTACGAGGAAAGAGCAGAGCAGCGCTAATAAATTAAAGGTCAAACTGTAAGCCATAGTCAGAAGTTTACTGTCAAGAAGGAAAAAATACACAGCAAGGCCATAAAAACTGGACAACCACATTGGAAACAACTCGACTCTGTGTTATTGTTAAATATTCCAAAACAATTCAGTCTTCTGCAACAACCAACAAATATGTATTTTATAAGACTTTCCTGACAGTCACTCACCACTGGCAAGCTCAGTGCAATATGGGTAGCTCTACGGTTTTGTTGAATTCAATTATGAAACAAAGAGTTTGTGAAAACTTTCCCTTTTTTATTCCACACATACTGTACACACAACCAGAAAAAGGGCAACAACTACTCCATTATTATTTTTTGTTGTTGTTCAGTGATGTAAGCAGCACTTATAAATGTTACAAGAAAAACCCTGTAAGCATCCAATCCAACCGACGAAGAAAGTGAAACGTAAGGCTTTTCTTCATCTTGTCTCTTTGCCACCCCTTCCCCACCCTCCCAAGAAAAGGCTCAAGTATTTAAAACAATTTACAGGCTTATGTACAAAAGTTATGATACTTTTTTTTTTGTTACACGTGAAAGGAAAAAAAAAATAAGACAAGATGGGAGCAAATGCATTTTCACATTCAAAAGAAGTATGCAAACGTGCTAGTGGCTCTAAATGTGATCATACAACAACAACAAAAACAAAATTAATGCTGACTGTGACGAGATTAAAAACAGCAGTGGAATGAGAATGGAATGTTAAAGATTGCACGTCTATGACAAGAAGCATGGCTTCAATCATTTTTCAAGGATGCTATTGAAGGGTTTTTGATAAAGTAGACAACAGCACCAAAAAAACCACAACAACCCAGAATGGATTTCCTAATGAAATCAGGCACAGTTTTTCGCTCACATGCCTCCGCAAGGCAGGCAGTCTTTTTTTTTATTTTTTTCTTTCTTTCATTTCCTCCTGGAACAGATGCATAGTGAAGTGCTGGTAACAGAGAACATTTTCTCCAAATCTCCCATTTGCCTATGATTAGAAAACTAAGTCCATCTTCAGCTGCCATAACCTCTCAAATAAAAGTGTGTATTCTCCAATTTTAAAAGGTACAAAACTTTATCCTGCCTGTTCCGGAACACAAGCCAAAAGTATAACAATTTCTTTCAAGTTTTGCCTCCTATCCCCCCCTTTTTTTTTTTCACTATAGGAAAAAAATATCTGCTGACGTGATTGGAGAACAAATTATAAAACGCACCAAAATTCAACCTACCCAGAAAAATAAAAGAAGGGGGGGTATTTAAAAGCCTTTTCACAATTACTAGGGGGGGAGAAAGGCCTTTTTTGTTTTCAGGCAGCGGGACAAAAAACAAAATTTTATCAGTTCCCTTGCTGCTATCCAAAAAAATGTGTGTACAGCAGTAAAAAAAAAAATCCTGCTGTATCAAACTATCCTAAGTATAAAATAAAAATAAAAATAAAATTCAACAGTTTAATGCTAAATCAAAATTAGTTCTCTAAAACCAGAAGAAAATCCTTCTGTAGAGCTAGTGCAAAGACAGCTTGTAATCTACAGCAATACTCCAAACTATGATATAATTACAAAAAATATATATAAAATTGACCAAAATGAGAGAGAGAGAGAGTTGGCATCTTCATGATTAACTTGAAGCACTTTTGGATGAACTGGAGGATGAAAGTCTTGATGATGGCACGTCAAGGGTTGCTCTCTTGCGAGGCCCTCTTTTTGGTGTAGGCTTGCTGATACAGATCTCAATGGTGCCGTTCTTGCCAGATACTTTTCCACAAATTTGATTGACTAAGCTGACGATTTGTTCCTAGTTGAAAGAAGAAAAAATGTGTTTTCTTTGTTTTGTTTTTAAACAACCAACTTCCTATTCCAAATAACATGGCAATAATATGATAAACTGAAGCCAAGATACGGCAACTTAACTGACTGGCTGTAATGTGAAGTGATTATTACTCCTGCTAGTCTCTTGTCTATCACATGGAAGTTTGTACTTGAACATTTTCTACCTGGGTTGACTTTGTGGCAGCCCGCCCGTCCCATTTAAAATGTTAGCTTGCCAATGTTCAGTTCCTCTTTTCTAGCCATGCTGCCCTCTCTGAGTGCACTTGAGGACTGCTGAGTGCATTTATGTCTTTCATTTCAAGTCTTTATATTGTAAAAAACATAGAAACAACTGAAAACCCTCCCTACAAATTGCTTCCTTATCATTAAAATGCTTTAATTTCTCCTTTGAGAACCATCATTTTTAGTTTTAGTGAGGCCTATGGCCTTAATTTTCTAAAAATGCTCCATTATGTGTACAGAGCTTCTCCACTAATGGACACGCTAAGGGCTTATTTTGCTGTGGCAAGAGACATCCACTGGAGTTGCAAAAACTTGATATTGCAGGGATGCTAGAACAGATCGTTTTGCCTTCATTTGGGAACAGGTTCTTTCAGCAGAGATCATAAAGTCCAGAAAGTTCCTCTCTGGTCCAGTTGATGCTTGTATAAGCTCAACAGCAGTTAGGCCTCAAACACCGATAATGCCAAGGAAGTCAAGATTGAAGTTGGTACCAATCTCGGATCTTAAGCTTTCCAGATACAAAGATGCAATTTCAGCTTTAACTGTCAGTGTCCAAGAAATGCAAGTAAAGGCCCAGTTAAGAGGATCATAAGCTCCAAAGAAGAAACTTCATATACTAGATTTGCATCTGCCACTCTGGAACCCTAGCCACCAATCCTGACTATCATTTAGTAGTTGTGTTTGGGAAAGTGAATGCTAGAGCCATGAAATGAAGTCAGAATTATCCAGTTTTCCCTCTAAGGATGTAAGGACTTGCAATTTTGCAAAATGCCAATGATTAAACAACCTCCTCTTGTTAGTGACCCGATATTGTGGCACAATCCTCATTCCTCTCACAGAACAGAAACACTCTCTTGTGTAAGATGACAGCTGTAATTTTTAGCTTAAACACCTCAAGCTTCCTGGTTTTCCACATGTGCCCTGGAATTCTGCATCTTGTACTGTTAGACTTGTAGGGCCAGTTTCCAATATCTCTATGGGAAAAAGTAGTCTAAGGGGAAATACTGTAGATCCTAGCCCAGATTTTCCAGTTAGAGATACATCACTTGTAACTGATCAATACCTCTTGCCACGTTGTTGATGGTGCTTAGTTGAGGCTATAATACTTTGACAATATACCTGTCTTAGCTCTTTGGATCTAACTAAAATTTCCTCTTTGAGGAGAAGCCTTGGTTCAGTAATAAGAGAAGTAAATACTGAGGAAAACAACCATGTAGGGTCTTTTATCTTAAGCATCTCCTTAAAGTATATATTTAGCAACTATGTTGTTTTTTTCTGTTTTCTTACTATGGCTATTCAGTGTTCTTGAACCAAATGATCAACTGCTTATGCTAGGCCCATTTATCATTGTTTCTAATGGCCCCTCAGACAGTCTCCTCAGACCGAGCCTCTTGATGATTTTAATATAACTCTTCTCCAAGTTCTTCAAACGTATGGCCAGATTTAAACCTATGGGAAACAACATCTGTGCCCTATGGGATGATTCTTCCTACTTCACTTGACAGAGAAGCATTGGATTTTCCCCAGACTCTCTTTTGGTCTTGAAGGTCACCTCAGGCTCTTGCAAGGTATTATTAAGTCTGTTTCCTCTCTACCAACTTGATTGATTGCTTAGATTTAGGCAAGGTCTGTTTCAGAATCTACGGTACCAAAGGTTAGTGCTTTACATAGATAACAGCAAGCTTTTCATAAGTCCCCCTGACTATTCTTCTATTCAAAAGAGCAAGGATTTTTTTTTCATCTTTTCCTAGTATTTGTCTAGAGCAGGGATAGACAACCTTGGCTCTTTTATGACTTGTGGACTTCAACTCCCAGAATTCCTGAGCCAGCCATGCTGACTCAGGAATTCTGGGAGTTGAAGTCCACGAGTCATAAAAGAGCCAAGGTTGCCTACCCCTGGTCTAGAGGGATATAAATACCTATCTGCTTTTCTTATCATCTGGTAGGCTTGCTGACTCTCAGGCAGTCAGGACGCCCTCCATTAAAGTATGAAGTGCCCCCACCACGTGCACCTTTCCAGGACATTTGCAGAGCAGCAGTGTCATCCTATCTAATAATTGTCATTGCATGTTACTAGCCAGACACAACATCTAGCCCTTATGCCTCATTTGGCAAAGTGGTGCCCTATCCTACCTCCACAAAGACAGCAGATTTTTTAACTGGTTATTTGAGTGATATCTGTGCATTCATGCTGTTCTTCCACCTTCCCAGCTATGGGTGATCCATTTACTAATTCTTTTGGAAACAACGTGATGAGGAAGAACTTAGAATTGGCTTGTTTCGTTAAGTGGTAAAGGACTCAGACTCCCATTAATTCAGCTCATCTGCAGGGTGTTCTGGAAGACTAGATCAGGGGTGTCCAACCTTGGCAACTTTAAGACTTGTGGACTCGAACTCCCACTATTCTGAAACCAGGCTGGCTGGGGAATTCTCGGAGTTGAAGCACACAGGTCATAAAGATGCCAAGGTAGGACATGTCTGGACTACATCATCAGCATGAATGAAGAGATAGTCACTTAAACCCAGATGAAATCAACTACTATTCAGCATTATATGAATGAGCCTTGGACTGATGTGCTCCTTCTCACGCCTTCATTACTGATGAAAAGAGAGACAAAGTTTTATGTCTGATTTTGCAAATACATATAGACCTAAACTGTTAATAGTGAATTGATTTTAGTAAATCACAATAATGATCACCCAGTTTAGGATTCATAAAACATGTTAAATCAATACAGGTAATCCTCGACTTACGACCACAATTGAGCCCAAAATTTATGTTGCTAAGTGAGATATTTGTTAAGTCAGTTTTGTCCCATTTTATGACCTTTCTTGCCGTAAGTGAATCAATGCAGTTGTTAAGTTAGAAACAACACAGTTGTTAAGTGAATCTGGTTTCCCCATTGACTCTGCTTGTCAGAAGGTCACAAAAGGTAATCAAATGACCAAGGACACTGCAACTGTCATAAATATGAATCAATTGCCAAGGGTCTGAATTTTGATCATCTGACCATGGGGCTGCTGCAATGGTCATAAGTGTGAAAAGTAATCATAAGTCACTTTTTTAATGCCATTTTAACTTTGAACGGTCACCAAATGAACTGTTGTAAGTCGAGAATTACCTGTAATATTTTTAAATGGAAGTGAGAACATATAAATTTAAATGCTATTGTATAATATTAAAATCATACTAAGTGCTCATTACAAGCTAGTATATTTGATTGATTGCTACTGATAGCCTATCATTATATACTAACTGAAATTTGGGGACCAGGATTAAATAAAATATGTATAAAATATGTATAAAAATATGTAACCTGTGACTTTAGAGAGTTTTTCTGCTTCATAGCGAACAACACTGGACTTTCTGGCAATCTATATTTTTGCCACCCAAGAACAATAAAAAATGTCCTTTTGGTGTTAACAGTTTTGGGTTCAAGTGTACGACTGACATCCATTTTATTTGGGGGGTTTGTTTTCTGCCTGTTTCTTTGGATTTGGGCAATAACTCTTTGGTTGGCAGGGTGCAAAACAGATTAATGCTCAATGAACAAGCCAGCCTGAGTACAGAAATTCATATAATATGTTGACATTCATCCTAAATAAACATTGGGGCTTTTTATTCCACATTGTTTCAATTAGTCTGAAGTCCCAAAATTGGTTTGCTTATTTTTTTTAATTCCTCCAAACTATAGACACATGAAGAGAACATAACTCCATCAAACAGCAGGCAAAATGTCCATCTCTGTTGCCTTTGGAGCTAATTAAGAAGTGGAGGAGGAAGTGAGGAAGAGTCAGTTAAATGCCTCTTAGACATAAAAAGACAATACTCTGATAGATATGTTTACTGTTGTTTTTAAATGATTTGTTATAGAGAGGTTTAAAGTACAAAGATTCTGGTATTATCTGTGCTGCACATGGTACTTATTGAAGTTACAGTATGTCAACTGCAAAACCACGGCTTCACTTGATGAGTTTTGAAGACAGTTGTAAAAGGAACAATATACACACTGTGTAAGTAAGTAAGAGGTCTGAAGCCAAGGAATTGCTAAGGAATTGTATTTTTTGCTACGGTAAACACTGTTTACAGTGTAGGGCTGTTCAAAACTAATTTTTCATTTTATAATTCTTAATAAAACAAGTGAGGAGGGTAAAAGGCAACAATGCAAATTTATCAAGAAAACCTACTGCAACAATAAATATAAATTATCCATAATATTAAAAAACAAGAGCAGCAACTCTACAGATCATACAGGCAACATAGCAAATTTGTAAATTATACAGCCTTAAAAATAACCCGCAAGACCACAAACAGTATTATACAGACCTCATCATAACGATACATTAGTTTCAATCCACGACAAGACTTCTGTTTTTCTACATGTCGCAGGGCGCATTCGAGGCAGAAGACAACATTTTCATTTTCCTGTACAACCTGCAATTTTTACGAACATAGGTTGAGAATATTGATGAGCTACAGGTCATATGGAATGTCTGCATTTCAGCTGAAGCCTTAATGTAACTTAGCTAGTGCGATAGTATTAAATCTTTTTGAAAACAATGTATAATTTCAGTAAAGCTAAATTCAATGTGCTATGAAGTAGTTAGCTATCCTGTTTCAGAGTAAATATTCAAATATGAACAAATATCCCCCATGGAGCAAAATTTCATTTTGTACTCCTGACTAGTCTGGGATGGTGG